TGGAACCCAGTCACTCAGCTATTGGCAGACAAGGTAACCTTTACCATCAGAAGCTAATCACTGTTTTATAGAGCAGTCAGCTACTTGTTACCAGCCAGATATTCATTTGTGCAAAACCACCTGACTGCAGTTTGCCTATAACTCTGCTTTCCCCACGGTTTGGACCAAAACTGTGTAAACTGCGTTTAAAATGAGGGTCCGGTTACTTTTTTAAAAATGCAGACAATCCTTCAACAATCCTTGGTTTTAAAGCAGTCCTTTTCCAGTTTCAGACAATCAAAAACTTAGGAAAACAAAGAGATACAATCTTGCAATTAATGGGTAAAAGGCTAAGAGGAGAATTGAAGGTGCTCGGAGATTGGAATGCAATGCATGAAAGGGAGTGAATTAGAAATTCTTCTAACGTTTTATATTTAGATAATCATTGCATTGCTGCAGCCTCCAGGACACTGGGCCAAAAGTTGGAAAATGGAATTATTGAAGTCAAATCTTTCTTGACATGCATGGGCGTGATGTCTCAAATGGTCTTCCGTATTGCAAGTGTCTCAAAAAAGAATTGATCTTTTCACTTCTGGATTTAGATGAGAAGAGATGGGAAAAGTTTGAAGTGGGACATAAACATTGATAAGAACTGGTTAGGCTGGATGGTCTGTCTCGGTGTTGGGTACCTTGTGTAATCCCTACTTGAACCCAAACTGTCTTTGGGCAATGAAGATTATTAGTTTGATTTAAGGGACAAATGACATAATGAGCTCACTGAATAGTGGGACAGGCTTGAGGGACTATTTCTGTTGATCAATTCTTAGGCTTGGAGTTCTGGAATTCCTTGAGGCTGTAGACATGGTCGTCCAACTAGTGGGTTTGCTTGCAGATGTTTTGTCACCCTGCTAGGTAACATCATCGGTGCGCCTCTGGTGAAGCATTGGTGTTCTGTCCCACTTGTTATTTATGTGCCTTAGTTTGCTGGGTTGTTTGCCATTACACAAAGCATTGAAAAACAGAACTGAAAGTATCGGGTCTGGTTCAGCGTGTTTTTTGATGGAGTTCTGGTTGGAATGCCAGGTCTCCAGGAATTCCCTGGCATGTCTTTGTTTGGCGCATGCTACTAAGGATGTGTTGTCCCAGTTGAATTCATGTCCTTTGTCCGTATGTATTAAGACCAGTGAGAATTAGTCATGTCTCTTGGTGGCTAGTTGGTATTTGTGTATCCTTATTGTCAGTTTTCTTCCATGTAATGCTTTTCATAGTCCTTGCATGGTATTTTGTATATTATTTTAGTTTTATTGGTTGTGGGAATGGGATCCTTCATGTTCGTCAGTAGCTGTTGCAGAGTGGTTGTTGGTTTGTGGGTTACTCTGATACCGAAGGGTCTGAGTAGTCTTGTGGCCATCTCTGATGTACGGTAGGGTGACTAGTGTGTCTGGCCGTGTTATGTCGTCTTGTTGTGGTCTGTCGCGGAGATAACGGCAGATTGTGCTTTTTGGGTCTCCGTTCCTTTTAAAAACTCTGTATAAATGTTCCTGTTCTGCTTTGCGCAATTCTGGATTGCTGCAGTGTGTTGCGACCCGTTTGAATAATGTCCTGATGCAGCTCCGTTTATGGGTGTTGGGGTGGTTGCTGGAGTAATTAAATATCTAGTCTGCATGTGTGGTCTTTCTGTGTAAGCAAGTTTGGAGTTCCCCGTTCTTACGTTTTACCACTATACCTATCTAGGAAGGGTAATCGGTTATTGTTCTCTTTTTCTTTTGTGAAATTTATTCCGGCGAGGGTGTTGTTTGTGTGTTGGTGGGTTTCTTCTAGTCTTGTGCATTTGGATTGTCATGAAGGTGTTGTCTACATAGTGCACCCAGAGTTTGGGTTGTCTCGTGGGGAACGCTGTTTGTTCTAACCTTTGCATTACCTCTTCTGCAATCAGTCCTGATATTGGAGATCTCATTGGTGTTCCATTGATTTGTTTGAATATATGGACATTGAAGCTAATGCAATATGCAAAATACCATGCAAGGGCTGTGAAAAGTATTACATAGAGCAAACTGGAAGAATATTGACAATAAGGATACACGAGCACCAACTAGCCACCAAAAGACATAACTAATTCTCACTGGTCTCAATAAACATAGGCAAAGAAGGACACAAAATCAACTGGGACAACATATCCATAATAGCATGAGCCAAACAGAGAGATGCCAAGGCATTCCTGGAGGCCTGGCATTCCAACTGGATCTCCATCAACAAACCAATTGAACTGGACCTGATATACAAACCACTGAGAAAACGAACCAGAAGTAATGCCGAGCATCCCAGCAAACTGAGGCTTATAAATAACAAGTGGGACAGAACACCGACGCTTCACCAAAGGCGCATTGACGATGTTACCTATCAGGGTGATGAAACATCTGCAACCAAACACACCAGTTCAGTGAACAAGTCTACAGCCTCATCCACAACCAAGCTACAAATCTTAAAAATCTGAAATTCCTTCCCTTAACCTTATCTTCTCTTAGAGTCCTCTTGCACTTGCAACTTTCACTGTACTTCTTGCCACAGATGCTCCCAACCCTGCTGAATTTCTCCAGCATTTCTTTTTATTTCATATTCCTCTGCGTTTGACCGCAGTTCTCCACCTCACTTCTTCCATATGACATGTCTTATAACCAGCCTCTGTAACTGTCCTATTATGTCCTCATCATAGAATCATAGATTTTTCATCATAGAATCTCTACAGTGTGGAAACAGCCCCTTTGGCCCAACAAGTCCACACCGACCCTCACACACCCACCCAAACTCATCCCCCTAACCCACCTAATGTACAAATCCCTGAACACTACGGGCAAGTTAGCATGACCTATCCACCTAGCCTGCACATCTTTGGATTGTGGGAGGAAACCAGAGCACCCAGAGGAAACTCATGCAGACACGGGGAGAATGTGCAAACTCCACACAGACAGTCGCCCGAGGGTAGAATTGAACTTGGGTCCCTGGTGCTGTGAGGCAGCAGTGCTAATCACTGAGCCACCGTGCCGCCCATTCACAATGATCCACACCGTCTATTAATGCTGCCATTGAAACATATTGGAGGTTTTACTGTGTTAACGATGCTTTCTAGGTGCAAGTAGTTCACTTCACATGTACTCCTGCAAGCAGTGATGAGCAGAGTTCAAGAGTGGTTTTCTTTTTTTTTTACCCTCCTCTACCATCCAGACACAGCCCAAGTACATTTATGGCCAATTCTAGTGCGCTGGAAATCATTTAAGAGCAGCAATCAAACTTGAAATTTAAAAGTCTGTTGTTGTCTGAGTACTACATTGCATACCTGTGTACAGTCTAATCTTGAGAGAAGCTCAATTGACTATTCTTGCCCTCTTGCCACTACATAACTGTGGAACATACTTTAATCAATGGTGTTTTATAAAGTAAAGGTTCACACTGATGTTTCATTGTCAAACAAGACGACAAATGTATATCTCACTATCTGCGGTCTGAAAAGTTTTAAATAATGTTTAGAAATATGAAATTCTGACTGTAAAATTAGTTGCCATATGATTGAAGTTGACTGCCATACAATCAGACTGATAGTAACCTTTTTGAGAGGTGATTTCTTTTTATTCTGTAATGTTGAGACTGACCATGTTTAAAACTCTTGACGCCCTCCTGATTCTGCAATCCTCTGTTTGTGTGGAGCAGTTTTACAGTGTCTGCTATTTCTGTTTTGCAGCTGGCACTCTACGTCCTGTCATTTCTGGAACCACGAGACCTGCTGCGGGCAGCACAGACTTGTCGGTACTGGCGCATCTTAGCTGAGGACAATTTACTCTGGAGGGAGAAATGCAGGGAAGAAGGTCAGTGTCAAAGTGGTGGCATATTAACATCATAATTGTCAGCTGCATCAGTGCCCACAGAGGTGACCATAACCTTATTCTCTGAGGAACACTGAGCATCCTTGATAGCTTGTGCAGTTTCTCATTGAGGAGCGTCTGCCAATTGGTCCATCCATTTCCAATGCTATGCTGAGGTAGGATTTGAGGGACCCTGAGTTATGTTGTAGTGTTGAACCAAACAATAATTGAATACCTTAATTTGTTCATTTCCTCCTACACTATCAGACTGCGGAATTTGCTAGATTGTGATCTGTTGTGAGAATTTGAGCGCATTTGTCACACTCTCTTTCTAAGGGCAGCTGACAAATCCCCCTGGCCACTCTGCTGAGAGCAGAAATCTCAACAGATCCAACATCTCAGGCTCTACTATTGTGTGTCATTGAAATATAATGCTTTATTTTTAAATTTATATCTATTATCAGTTAGGCTGCAGAATTGATATTTGTCCATATCGTCCAGACCTGTTCTGTAGCCTTTATCTTCTAACATGACTGTGCCAGCATGATTATTCAATGAACAATGGCCAAATTCTCTCTCACCCCAATTCAACTCTCAACACCTCTTTTGTATGTGATTCATAATGCACCATGACCAGTCTTTCATGACTTGAATCTCTAATTATGTCTGGTCACTAAGATCTCATTTGTCCTAAGATCTTACTTCAAATGTCAATGGTTGTTCAAGGAAAACACTAATGTCAGAGACTCAGCAAACAAAACTTTTTAGATGTGCACTAAAATAAAAAGCATCATGAGATTCAAATTGCTAAACATTGGTCGTGGTGTTTCATCAATCACATATATTTGAGCTAATGTCCACAATGGGCCAAATGGACAAAAAAAAATTGATAATGGGCCTTCAACTGATCTTTTGTGGAAGAGAGTTCTGAACTTTGTGGAGACGTCTTACTACATTTCTCTCAAAGATCTGGCTGTAATTTTTAGCCGATGTTTTCTCACCCTCGACTCTGTTCAGAAGGTGTTTGTCTGACTCATCCATTCTGCCTAATATTTAGTGTAGGAGCATAATTAGGCCATTCAAGTCTGCTCCGTCATTTGATCATGGCTAAAAGTTTGTTTTAAAGAAATTGTAAGTTTGCTTTGTGATGTGATTTTGTTCAGGGCTGAGTGTGTTGATGGCTTTGCCAACATTTAGTATTGCCCTTGAAAAGGTGGTGGTGAGCTGCCTTCTTGAACTGCTGCAGGCCATGTGCTGTAGATTGACCCACAATGTGCCTCAGGAAAGGATTTGCAGGATTTTGACCCAGCAACAGTGAAGGAACGGTGATTTATTTCCAAGTCAGGAAGGTGAGTGGCTTGGATGGTAACTTGCAGGTGGTGCTATTCTCATGTGTCTGCTGCATTTGTCCTTTTTGGTGCCAGAGGTCACGTGTTTGGAAGGTGCTGTTGTAGGAGTCCTCATGAATCACTGCAGTGCATCTTGTAAATCTGCATGTTATGACTGTGTGCCAGTGGTGAGAGAGTGAATGTTGAAGCTGGGAGCTGGAGCGCTGATAAGCTTCGTCCTGAATGATGTCGAGTTTCTTGAGTGTTACTGCAGCTGTGCTTATGCAGGCAAATGGGGAATATTCGATCATACTCCTGAATTGTACTTTGTGGATCATGGGCAGTCAGGAGGTGAGTTACTTGCTGCACTATTTGTATCCTCTAACCTGCTCTTGTGACTACAGTATCCATATGGCAAGCTTCAATTTCAGGTCAGTGGAAGCTCCAGGGTGTTAACAGTGGGGGATTCAGTGATAATGCCATTGAAATCCAAGGGACAATGGTTAGGTTCTGTTTTGATGGAAATGGATATTGCCTTGCACTGGCTACTTTCCTTTTATCTACCCAAGCCTGAATGTTGTCTATATGTTGCTGCATTTGGGCATTGACTGCTTTAGGATCTGTTAATAAGCAGTTATGTTGTAGTGGTGTAATGGTTCTTTTATTTGCCTAATAATACAGAGAATGTAATTTCACATCCCCAGTGAAGTAGTTTGTGCCTTCAAATTCAGTTCTACTAAAAACCTGGTGACCATTAAACTATCAGATGGTCATCAGGTGCAACAGGTTCTCAATTTTTCTTTGGGAAAGGAAACATACCTTTTATAGTCTGGGCTCAGTTTACTTTTGGATAGCCTCTGTTTCTTCCCATTGAACTCAGCCTTACCTAAATCTAGAATGTTTTGGCTTTTTTTATTCATTCATGGGATGAGGGCATCACTGGCTCGACAGCATTTATTGCCCATCCCTAATTGCCCAGAGGGTGGTTACGAGTCAACCACATTGCTGTGGGTCTGGAGTCACATGTAGGCCAGACCAGGTAAGGATGGCAGTTTCCTTCCCTAAAGGACATTAGTAACCAGATGGGTTTTTCCCGACAATCAACAATGGATTCACAGTCATCATTAGACTCTTAATTCTGGATGTTTATTGAATTCAAATTCCACCATGTGCCGTGGCAGGATTCGAACCCATGTCCCCAGAATGTTATCTGGGTCTCCGGATTAACGGTCCAGCAATAATACCACTAGGCCATTGCCTAGGCTATTTCTACATTTCTCCCTTTTGAAACGCTCTAAACTTAGTCTTATTGTGATTGCCCATTTATTTATTAAACAGTGATTAATTTTGCTGCAGAGAACTGCTGTGGGCACAGACACACAAAATTATCTGCTTAACCCAGTCGATATGAATGGTAAAACTTGGCTTTTTAAACCACTGTTGGCTTGCTACAAACTCTTCTAATCTGTGCACTCTTGCAATGTACATTTCTGCTGTTGTCAGGGGTCTTTTTAAATCACCATCTGTTCCTTATATTCTTGCTATCACCACCATGCTCATTATATCCTCTCATCATTGAAGTGATTTCATCTTTAGTCACACAGGCTACCCTTCCCTTGTCTGCCAGAATATGTTCATTTGTGATGGTCTGTGACTGTCTCTTTTCTCCTTAGCATTGATAAACTTTGCTCAGTGTTTGTCTTCACAAGAGCAGCTAATTCAATTCTTAGGAAAGTTATGGCCGAGGACTGTGGTTCTGTACCAGTGTACTCTTGAGGTTGTTGAAGTTGGTTGGCTCGCCAAGCTGGTTTCTTGTTTCTTGCAGTGATGCAAAGACTAGAAAGGACTGCCCTTCCGCAAATCCAACCAAAACTGTGGATATGCTACATAGACGACACCTTTGTCATCATTAAACGGACCAAATTAGAGGAGACACACAAATTTATAAACAACACCCTCACCGGAATAAAATTCACCAGAGAGGAGGAGAAGAACAAACACCCCCATTCCTGGACATCATGGTAGAGCGCAAGACAAATGGGGAACTGCAAACGAAAGTACACCGAAAAGCCCCACACACAGACCAGGCACTGAACTTCAACAGTAACCATCCCAGCACACACAAACGAAGCTGCGTGCGAACACTATTTAAAAGGGCAGCAACACGGAACTATGCCAAGAAGAAGAAGAATACCTCTTCCAGGTTTTCAAGGATAATGGATATCCAAAGAATTGGGTCAGAAGATGCCTACGCGAACAGCATTAGAAAGAGACTACACGCCCCAACACACTCATCACACTACCCTATATCAGAAACACATCAGAACTCACCACAAGATTCCTCCGACCGCTGGGCATGAGTGGCACACAAGCCCACATCAACCCTACAACAACTGCTCACCCGAACCAGGGACCCACTCCCTGCCATGGACAGGACCAATGTCATCTACAAGATTCCCTACAGAGACTGTGAGAAACACTACATTGGACAAACAGGAAGGAAACTAACAGCAAGAGTACATGAACACCAACTGGCTACAAAAAGGCATGACCAATGCTCACTCATCTCAATCCACATGGACAAGGAGAACCACCACTTCGACTGGGACAATAGCAAGATCCTGGGACAGGCTAGGCAGAGACAAGCATTAGAATTCCTAGAAACATGGCACTCCACAAAGCATGCTATTAATAAACACATTGAACTCGACCCCATATACGTTCCACTGCGAAGGAAACCTGGAAGTGAGGCAATCCGTCTCAACGGACCCCAGAGTTTAAAAACCAGGCAGGAAAACACACCGACACTTCATCAGAGGCTGCACCGAGGATGTTACCAAGCACGGTAACAAAATGTCTGCGAAACAAGAAACCAGCTGGGCAAGCCAACCAACCTCAACAACCTCGACACCCACAACCCGAGCTACAAATCTACTCCAAAACCTTAGTGTACTCTTGTTTAGGTACAGTTGTTCTCCTCAACCCCTTCTCCTGCTCCACTCCTTTCTCAAACCCTCCTCCAAATGTCCATTCTTCATGGCTCAGCATATTTTAGCTGAATTGTATCTGCGGTAGATGTTCCAGTTGGCCAGACTGCGAAAGCGATGGAGGGCTTTGTTGTGTGAGTGGAAAAGAATCCATCTGAATTCAACCCTCTTTTCTTTACCCATGCCCCAAAAAAGGAAAAGCCCTCCAACAGGAGCCATGAGATCAGGAGTAAATACAGTTACACCTTTTGCTCTCTTCAATAGGTCACTGGTTTGGTAGAGGCAATCACCAGGAAGAGCGAGGACAGATGATATATGGGAACATGACACTTGTAATACCCTTCTAAAGCTCGTATCATGATGACTGAGTTGTACAAGTATTCCTTCATTATTGCAGGATCAAAAGCCTGGAATTTGCTACTTAACGACATCAGATGCACCCACAAAGCGTGGACCATAATCTCTCAGTAGTACCTCTGTGACAGCACTAGGGACATGGTGACATCATGGTAGTATCTCTGGACAAATAATCTGGAGAAGGTGACTCTTTCCCTCGGCGCAAGGATTCAAATCCCATGTCAGCTGGTGGAATTTCAATTCAGACTGAAAGTTGAAAGTAAATCTGGAATTAAAAAGTAGACTCCGTAATGAGGCCATGATTGTCACAAAAAAGTGTCCCGGTTCTCTA